CCAGACCACATACGGCACGTGTTGCTATGAACTGTCTGCAAGCTTTTCAAACTCTTCCTTGGCCTGCCAGATCACCAGATCTGTCTCCCATCGAGCATGTCTGGGATATGATGGGAAGGCGATCGCATCGGGCACGGAATGTTGATGACCTCGTTCGACAATTCGATCGAGTTTGGCAGGAAATACCACAAGAGACCATCCGGGAGCTTTATCGGTCTATGCTACGCCATGTGGCAGCTTGTATCCAGGGCAGAGGCGGGTCAACACCTTATTGAACTTGTTACTGTAACTCTTCAATAAATTATTCAATTGTTCTGAAATTTTAATCATTTACTATTCTGTACATTGTCTTCCTGTCCACCAACTTTCGTTTCAATCGAATCACTCCTTCTTGGTGCGTCGATTTTTTTTGTTATAGAGTGTACATTAGAAATCCATAAGAACAACAATGCAACAGGGAAGACTGAATGCCTTATCTTTGTTGCGTATAGAAGCAAATTAAATTATTTTGATGTGTTTAAATTCATAATGCACCGAATGCGTAATGCACCGAAAATGCATAATGCACGGTTAAAATGCATAATGCACCGAAATTTTCATATTTTGTTTCGTTTTTCAACCTTTTTTCTTACATTTCTAATGTAGCAGAAAACGTTCTCAATAGAATAGTAATAAACTTTTAATAGTATATACTCTTCTGTTACAAAATGAATACATTTATCTTCTTTCGGCAGTCTTCAAACATCATCGGCAGACTTCCATGGCAAATTTATTTCCTTCTTCTAATTTCGATGGATTATTGCTATAAATAGAAACATAGGCATTTTAAACTTTTGTGTATAACTTTTTAAAATTATTCTTATTTCTATTTTTAAAAAAATTTAAAGTAAATTGCATTCATTATAAAAGTACTCATATTTAAAACACATTTCCTTTCAAAATTTTTTCTACTAAGATTTCGATAATAAATTAAGCGACAATAAATTATTATAAATATAAGCTGATTTTCATTGGGTACTTGTAAGCAACGGCACGCGTGAGTGCCTAACCTGATTGGCTGTTGTATGGTAGCATTTTTTTAACTTGTAGGAACTCAATTAAATAAGATCCGAAAATTGATTCAGCATGATAATAAACAAAGCTTGACAGCTGCAAAGTTAACACGTCTTCTTGTTTATAAACAACCAGATGATTTCAGCGGGTTTTTTCTTTACGACTTTCACAGCAAGTTTCTTTCTTTTTTCTTCTGTATTCATTTCCGTAAATTCAAGATTTTAACTCATTCGCGTATTCTTATTGGATACATAAATCACATGGTATCATGAAGTTTTCCCACATGCAAGTCACCATTCCTACGGATGTTTTAGACGTATAGTTAATAAAAAATATAAAAGTAATGTTCACCTGCAAAATATATCTATGATCATTACTTTACACGTAATTAACGTTTTTAATTTTAATTACGATTTCAATTTAAAATAGTGGATCTAAATGTGGTGTTTGTTTATTATAAAATAATCCTATAGTTTGTAAATAAGTTATAAGACCACTGAAAACAACTAACGGTTCTTATCCCAAAATAAAATTTTACTACTTTTTTTTCATAATTAGACATAATAATTTAGAATTATACAAATACCGATTTAAAAAAATTTAAAATTTTTTATGGGAACATAAAATTGCGACTCGACAGATTTAACGTGCATCAGTCAGCCTTTACTACACCGGCCGATGGAGATCGAACCTACGAACTCTTGAANTATCTTTTTTGGCGCACTATGCATTTTTCATGATCAATTAGTAAAAAAAAATGTACACAATTTTTATGCAAAAAAGTACGGATTGCGAATTCCAGATTAACTTATAACTTTTGGCTTCAAAGCATGCTTATAGTAAGGGCCCCATTAACTTCTGAAGTTAGGGGGTGCTCAGACTAGTTTCGGGGCCTGCTTTTTTTGTTTAGGAAAACTTAATTCTATGCACATGGAACTTAATAATTCAAATATTTTTTCCAAAAGTGACTCAGAAGCATAAATATCCCCCCCTCTCCCTATTATGACATATTTAAAATTATATAAACATTATATTCAGAGAGGATGGGTGTGAATACTTCTTTTTGATCCCCTCGATCCTGGTAACCAATATCATCATTTGTAATAAAATATCTCACAGATATAAATAAATTGAGTAAGATTCAATGTAGATCTTTTAAATATTTAGAGAAAATTATTACTTATGGTCATATTATTTTATAACCGTCGTTGAACAGTCGACCCAATTTTGGGTACACGACTACTAATGTTCAACTCCGTAGTCTTGTTATTTTGAACCAATCCAGAAGAAAAAGAAACTCCTGGATCAGCACCCCCAGAAGTATAATTTTTTATGGGAACATTAAATTGCGACTCGTCAGATTTAACGTGCATCAGTCACCATTTACTACACAGGGAGTCTTCGGCCAATGGAGATCGAACCTACGACCTCTTGAACATGGGCCCAGTACCCTAGCAACCAGGCACCTAGGAATTTGAAATCGATGGAAAAAAATTGAGATTAAGGAATGGCGGGGATCGAACCCACGAACTTTAGGACATGGGTTCAGTGGCCTACCAACCAGGCTATCCCGTTCCCTGAAATCTTTTATTGTCTCTATTATTTCCGTCTCGATTTCTTTTAATTAAAAAATATCACTTTTAAGTTAACCTGTTTTCTGTAAGAATATTAAAAAACGCCAAACTGAGATGGGCATCCAATAATTAATTTTTACCTAACCAAGAAAATTTAGCGCTAAAAAAATAAGACCACGGAACTAAGAACTCTGAAAATATAAAAATTAACATGGTTTTGATCCTCTAGTTTCGAATTACTTCAAACATTTCATTTTTCAACTGATTGACTTTGTGGCTAAGTTTAATTTCAGCAATATTTTGTGTCCTTCCTTCACAATAACTACCTATAGTTCATTGACGGATGAAAAGGGTTTATTATTCGCATAAACTTTGCGACATATTATCATGCCATACATATTTTTTTAAAATATACTATTAAAAAAATGGGGCACAATTTACTTACGAACATTTTTGATTAAGTAGAAAGTTTCAATTCTTGGGTTTGGCTAAAATGATTGATGGGGTTTTCCACAAGTTCCCTAGTTCTTTACCACTATAGTTACAAAACTTTTTAAATCATTTTTCAGTGAATTTAGATGCTTGTCAATAAACATTGATCTGCTGCTTCCAGATCCAGTTTGGAGCACCTAATAAGAGACCAAATGTTCTCAGATTATAATGCATTAAAGACTGATATGAAAAACACTGACTGATAAACATCCAGAAAATTTGCTGTAAATAGCCTCAAGCTGTCATAGTCCGAGGCTTTTTTGACCATTATTGAATCTCCTCCTATTTGACGACTAAACCATTCTTTTGATTAAGCTCTCAAATCAAGCCAATTGTAGTAGTAACTTATCATAAAAAAAAATTGTTGTTACTTTACGTTCAAAAAATGTTGTATTTTCTCCATATTATTAAATTTTTTTTATTGCCCTTAAAAAAAATTATTTAAAAAAAAAAAGCGATATTTATTTGTCGAAAAATTTACAGATATGGACGACCGGTTAAAAGTCTATCACTGATTTGGACAATCGGTCAATCGGCTGATGTTGCAAAAATCATTTTTTCTGGCGTATAGTTTAGTTTTCTTTGAAACAGCTGCCTTGAGCACAACATTGTGAATATCAGTTTTAGAAAGTTTCTTCAACCTAGCTATTTTTCTTGCAGACTACGAGCTTAAAAAAATACTTCTCACTTCAAAATGAGACTTTCCCCCGCGGTATCTTCAAATAAACAAACACAATCAGTATATCAGTTTCACAATTAATGGTTTCACAAAATTCTACTGCATACGTTTCATAACACTGGGTAACAAATATTTTGTTGCATTTAATCACGTACTATAGACTTTACGTAATTCGGTTGTGGAAATTTAAAAACTGAAATAAATTTTGCCCCAATATTTTTTCAAAGTAAAACCACATAGTATTCATTCGAGCGTATTTTTAAAAAATTCCGGTTGGGAATAAAGTATTAAACTGCATAAAAACTGTAGCTTGTAGAAAGAAACCAACTGCTGATTCAAAATCAGCGACGCGAAAAAAACTAAGATCTGTTTAAAACTTTCATACAAAATAATAATAATAATAATAATTGTTTCTAGTGTAATGATTTCACTATGATGCAAAAAATGCAAATTTTAGTAGGTGGCCTTATAAGTTTTACAACAGATACTTTCTGAAAAATAAGTAACATTTATTAAAATTAATTAAAAAAATTATAAAATAATTATTATAAATCAATCAAAAATATTAAGCTTAATTACTCAACTACTTAATTAATTTACTGAAGATGTAGTGATAAACATGAGTGGTACTTTCTTGATAATTTAAAACAGAGTTTTCAGTAAAAATATTTGAAAGGAATTATAAATGTAATATAAGAATGAAAATATTCAATGATATGATGTAAATGAAATTTAAAAGATTAAGCACCTTACCATGAGAGCTAGTGCGTAGAAGTTCTGACAGAATTTCTGGAATTTTGTGCTCTTTTCCAGACGCAAGTTCTTTGAAAATTTTCGAATGTACTTCAGAAAAATCAACATCTTTTAATTCCAGAGGTTCGCGTAAGGACTTCATAATTCTTTTGATAGTATCTGTGATAAGCAAAGCATTGGCGTTTATTTCCATTTCCGATGCGTCTTGGCGTATTATGGGTGATTTTGTTTTAAGTATGAATTTATTGAACAAAATGTTTAGTAACAACAAAGGACCATTTATGTCTGGATTATTTGATGCCAGAAATCTTAATATGATTGAATGCTTTTGATCTAGCTGCAGTTTATTTTGTTGAATGTGTTCTTTTGGAAAAACATAAATAGCATCACTGATGCTGCGTTTTGACGAAGACAGCTTTGGTTTCTGTTTTGTAGAAGATACTAAAGAGCCTGAAGAATCTATTCTGAGGGGATTGTAACTTTTCGGTCGAAAGCGATATCCATAAGAGCTTCTACTCATTTGTAGAACAAGTGGTTCGTTAATTTTTAATGAAAAATAACCTCGAGGAAAAGTTACAGGTCGATAAGTGATAGTAGTCTTAGGTGTAGGTCTTCTAGTAGTAGCTACATGTTTTTTAGTAGCTCCAAGCCTTTCGAGGTAAAAAGCAATCTCAAGATTTTGTTTAGCATAGGCAGCATCCAATGCAGTGTCATTATTAGAATTCAGCGCGTTTATTTCAGCTGTTCTATTTTCTATTAAATACTCTACACATTCTGAGCAGTTAAGAAAAGAGCTGTAATACAACGGAGTATTTTTAAATATATCTTTTCTGTTGATATCAGAAATACTGTCAACAAAAAATTTAAATATTTCTATATTCTTATATTCAATGACATAAATCAATGGAGTATACTTTTTTGATCCTATGGAGCAGTCTCTATCTATCTCTGCACGTTTAGATACTAAATACCTGACAACATCATAATGTCCTTTTTTCATTGCATTACACAAAGCCGTTTGTCCGTTTCTATTCTCGTTTACATGGTAAGCAGCTTCTTCAAGTAAATATTTTACAATATCCAGTTGACCTTCTGAAGCTGCAGTTTGTAATGGATCGCATGATATTTCGTTCTGCTCCATTAAATATTTTATAATATCCAGCTGACCAGAAGCAATGGCTTTGCAAGAGACTTCGTCCAATTGTGGACGACTGATTGTTATATTCTTAAAAATGTATTCTACAATGTTTTTATGACCATTCTCTACGGCCAAGTCATAAAACGTCTTTCTCTCGAAATCTAAGCCTCTTAGATCTGCACCTCTACTAAGAAAATATTGCACCATTTCAATGTTTCCAATTTTCGCGAAAGTATGCAAAAGTGGTCTTCCTTCTCCGTAAAGCCCAGTCAAATTAAGTCCTTTATCTACAAAAGCGTAAATAATATCATTATATGAATTCTCTGCAGCTATGTCCACCGATGATTTGCCAGTGATATCTTTCTTATACACAATGTTGATATCTTCTTCAATAAACAGCTTCGTAACTTCTAAATGACCATGGGATACCGCCTCATGGATCGGATATCGTTCCGCTATGTTACGAACCCGCATTCTTGCTCCCTTCTTCAAAAGATCTCGTACTGTATCAATTCTGCCTACCGCTGCCGCACAGTGTAATGGTGTGGAACCGTCTTTGGTTCGGGCTGTAATATTTGCACCCATTTCAACTAACGTACTAGCAGTTTCGGACTCTTTTCTCATAGCTGCTAAGTGAAGTGCTGTGTATCCTTCCTTTGTTTCAGCTTCAATATTGATGTTTTTTTCGAGCAACTTGGGAATAACTTCCTTTTGTCCAGCCGATACTGCTAAATGCAAAAAAGTGACATTTCCTTTAAGATGCAACGATAAACGGATTTTTTCCTTTCTTAACAGTTTCAAGGCTGCATTTGTATTCCTTTTAAATAATGCATAGTGTAAAGCAGTCCAACCATTATTACATTTAGTATTTAGGCCATTTATTTTCTTTGTAAGTAACTCTTCGACAATAGCAAGACTTTTTTCTGACGGAAGAGCAAGTACTGCGTAGTGAAGTGGCGTAAGGCCATCGCTGTCTCTAGCATTCAAGCGTGTCACATTGTTTTTAATTAATGCTTTAATAACTTCAAGGTCTTCCTTCATTACCGCAATATGTAATGGAGTAAATTTACGAATGTCTGACGTCGCATTGACATTTGGATTAAATTCTGTTTTCTCCAGAAAAAAATCCATAACCATTTTTCCTCCAATGACGGCTGCATGAAGAGGTGTAAATCCGAATTTGTCTTTTTCGTTTACAGTTTCGTTAGTAGTTAAATGTTGTAATAGGTCCGAATATCCTTTTTTACTTGCAAGATGTAACGGTGTTAGTAATTCTTTTTTAGTCTTTGCTCTCTTGTTTGCATTTTTTCCAACCAAATATTTAGTAACATCTTCTCTACCAGCTCCAGCGGATAAATGCAAAGGGGTGTAACCTTCATCATCTTCCATATCAATATCAACACCTTCTTCGTGTAGATATTGTACTAAAGTTTCATGGCCGGCTAGAGCAGCTGCGTGAATTGCACTTCTTCCGTGTTCAAATGTCGCCTTAATATCAGCACCATGTTTCTTGTATAATTTTACTTCTTCGATAGCTTTTAACTCCAATGGATTTTTCACAGCGTTGTAAAGATCCCTACTGATATCCCAAAAACGAGTTTGTGAAGTATTGACCATTCCTACTAACTCTGCTTTATTATCCCCTATCTGCCGAAAAATAAGTCGCTTGTTTTCCGTATCAATTGGTATTCTTAGGGTTAGATTACCTTTTTTTTCTATTCTGGCTGGTGTTGTCCATTGACTGATTTTCGAATAAATTCCTTCTTTCTTAAATTGCAAAGCGTATTTTATTGTACAATCACACCTAGGATATTCGGTCTCGTTAGAAATCGCTTTAAATGATATAACCATGTCATTGTCGGGCTGTGATATTGTTACATTAAAGTTTAAAATTTCATACGTTAAATCATTAAGAAGTTTCGTCGAATTAGATAAAAAATTATTTTCATAATAAACTGGATTCGAAGGTACTTTTGACAATATATCTTTAGCGTATCCAATGATAGATTTATCTCTATGAATTAAAACGTTCGAATATTTTTTATGTACATTGTCAATATTGACCATTTCTTTATTGTAGTCGTCTAAATTACCTTGTTGATAATGATAATTTGCAAGATATATATGTGCTTGAATAAGAAAACTCATGACAGAGGAATAAGTTTGCGTTCCCCTCAATATTGTGTCGATTGCTGATATTGGAACATCTTCTCCTCTTTCCAACATGTTCTTTACAGTAGCAAAAAGCAATAGTAATGGCGTCCACATTTCAGTTGGATCTCTAATGTCTCCCAAATGTTTTTTTACATTATCATCATCAACCCTTAAGAGTTGAAGCAGATAGTCTTGTCTGGGTAGACTTTTCGTGTCTTCCATTTCTGCCTCATAATAAGAAATCATGCTTTCGACTTTGTAGATTTTGTTTTCTATATCTAAATCTTTAATGGTATCTAGAATTTTCTTTATACCTTGCCTCAGCTCTTCTCTTGATTTCTGAACAATGTTTATGACAGTATTTATTTTATCCGATATTACTTCCAGTTCTTTTGTCATTTTTTCCATTCTCCTTTCAACCTCATTGATCTTTTCATCGATATGAATTTTAATCTCATCGAATGGAATTTGATCACAGTCCATCGCAGTTGAAGCTATATTCAACCCATTTTTACTCGTGTAGAAATTGTAAGCCAGAGCTGAACAACCAGCTTTCATTAATGGTCCAAAAAGAGGGACAACATTTAAGAGATCACCTGTAGCGGTTAAAAAATCTCCACCTATCGAAAGGGCATCGGATGCTATTCCCATAGATTTGCATTTTTCCGCTCTCTCTTTCAGTTCAGTTCTGTTTATCTTCGCATCTCTCCTTAAGCGATTTAAAAAAATTTTATTTTCACTCGACAATGAGAAAATGGGCAGAGTCGAGAGAAGTAAGAGGCAAAAAATAATCGACATTTCCCTTCAAGAAGCTGCTTCTTTAAAAATAATCGTCTGCTCAAAAAGTAGTGAATTCATAAATTTGAAATGTCAAACTGGATATATAAGTAGTGTATGTTTTTGTAAGCACCTGCAGCAACATTTGGTAAACATTTCTTTATTGTCATGCTTAACATATTTGATTGACGGTTAGGAGAAATAAGCATTCAAAATTCAAGAATTCAAGTTTATTTTTTTCTTCAAAACAGCAGTTGTTGCGTATCTTCTGTAGAGAGAATAGCTCTAAGATCTCGCAATATGCCATTTAAGTCAATATTAAAATATAAAAACAATATATGCTGCTTTTTAGGAAAATGAAGGAAAAAAAAGATTTCAGCCAGGTTTTGTCAAGTGTCCATGAAATTAATTGACATCGTTTGCTCATATCTTAATTTTTATATATAAAAAAAAAGCTTACACAAACATGTGTAAAAGCAGTGAACGCAAATTTTTATGAGGAAAAATTTGATTTTCATTTATTATCTTTAAAAAAAAACTTTTAAAAAAATCAGTGAATTTAAAAAAAAGAAACAAAAAAGAGAAAACACCACTGAAAATATAAAAGCTAACCCGAAGATAAGATGCGTTCTATAGATTATTCGTGAAAGTTCTTTGGCGAACCTCAATAACGCAAATAATAGAAAACTTTCACACGTAATATTTGTATACTAATATATGTGTGTATAAATTTACTTTTACATTTACTTTCCTTACTATTACCAGTTATAAAATATGTATATTATACTGAATAACTTTTGTTCTAATGATCGCAATTTTATGTGCTAAGTGTCAATTTTAATGATTCCAGGGGCTGATTTCAAATATGCTAATTAATTATTAATTATATTTTTTAATTATAATTGAATATATTAATTATTAATCATGTTAATTATTAATTATATTTTATATGCATATATTTTTTTTTATATATTTGGAATCCAGACCATCAAATCAGGGGACAAGACGAAATTTCGGAAAATCATAAATAGGGGAGCTAGGAAGCTATATATTAGTGATGGGCATCATTCAAGGAATTTTTATTCATGTCTAAATTTAGTCAGAATAAATTCATTCTAAATTATTATTCATTTGCGAATTTAGCCATTATTTATACTCATTATGCAAATTTTTGTATGAAATTTGATGAATAAGTTCATTAGTCATGACAAATTTTTCTGATTAAATAATAACTAAATTCTGATTAAATAATAACTAAACAAATAAAATAAATATAAATAAAATTAAAGAATAAAAAATAATAAAAAGTTGTGATCGCCTTTTCACAGTCACTGGTTACCCTCTGGGCAAAATCTTTTTCTTTCTAGATTGACATCGTGAAACGCCACAACATTTCAAATCATAGGTTGCAAAACTGTTTCAATTGATGTTCGTCGTCGAATTGATTTTCAAATCCTGCCTATGTACGTGTTTAAGACGTCACAAAATACTTTTCCTTTCTCAGCATTCATATTTATATTGGAATTACCGTCAAACCAGTTTTTATACGCTAACAATAAAAAGAATATAAAAAATAATTTAAATTATTATTATGTAAATACATTTAAAATGTCTACTAGTGAAAATAAAAACAGCAGCGGTCGCCATAGCAATGCATGCAATTGTTTACTGTTACTCTTAAAGGCAGTTGAAAAGTGTGTGGATACCATCAAATCCAAACTAAGACCCATTTTGTCAATGGGTAATAATATACACTGGGAGGCTCCGCCCCCTGCTCGCCATCCCCCGAGAATTGCTACGCAATCCTATGTGGTTCACGCCGTGAACCATGGCTCGCTCGCCAATGAACACAATGTTCTAGCACAAAGACATAATATATTATCATCAAAGACATAGTATTTTATCATCAAAGACATAGTATTGTACTTATGTAGAAGAATTCTACCAATGTTCTTATTGGCTTTTAAAAAAGTATATTAGCTATTTAGATTGTACATGGTGAAAAAATCAAAACATTAGCTAAATAAGAAACATATTAGCAAAATAAATTATCAAATATTGCTTCACTAATATT